ATTTACATCTGCATCTGTAAGCAAGGATTCATGTTCTCTAGCCCAGATGCCGAGTAAACAGAATCGTCTTTCAGTGACGTGCAGCTGCCCCTATATTTGACCCACTGACCTAATTTTTTATTATTTATTTGTGTCAGTGTGCTCTTCTAAAGAGTGTAAGACGATTGTATGTAGGTACGATTAAAATGTAATTTTAACTCATTGGTTTTGTCTCCTCATTTTTGAGGAATGTACTATATCATGAGTAGAGTCTTAGTTTAAAAGGATGCCAACGATTTAAATTTCAATAGATAGACAAAATTCATAATAAAATTCTTCATTATCAAAAGTTTTAGCTTTCTCCAGTAACACTGATATTATTATACTGTGACTCATCAAAGTCATCATTGTCAAAAATATTAACAAATCGCGAACTGTCACGGCCAAAAAACTGACACGCGTCCGTCCTCCGTAAGCGCCACCGCGCGACTGATTGAGATTGTCCAAGCCGTCATGGGCGATTTTTTCCACATTTTTTAACATAGTAACCAAATAAGACGCAATATAAAAATTTCATCCGTTAAAAGCCCTCAAGTTATTTCTGAACTTTAGTTTAGTAAAAGATTCAGAATCTCAAATCGATTATTTTAAAAATAAAACCATAAATAGAAAACGAATAGAGGTAANAACGGTCACGCACGCCCCATACAAAAAAAAACCCAGACCCGACAGAAACGAGACATACCTCAGTTTTTTTGTCATGTCTTAATTAGTTAAATTATATATTTTTTATATTCGAAATCTATGTATAACACCAAAATATTACCCTTTGTTTTTGTTCAGGCGTTATACAAAAACTAATATAAAATGCCTATTTATCACCAATACATAGATTTCGAATATAAAAAATATATAATTTAACTAATTAAGACATGACAAAAAACTGATGTACTATGTCTCGTTTCTGTCGGGTCTGGGTCACAGATGACCGTTCTTCTTTCAATAAATAAATAAGACGTGTCTAAAAAGCGCCATTTATCGTAATTGGTTAAAATCTACAGCACTGGACAAACTACGGTATGACGTTCGTAAATATTCATTCGGGGGAAGCCGTGAAACGCGATGGCGTGATAGATGTATCAACATGGGTAAAACGAGGTAAAACATCATATCTAACGGGGGTAAAACGAGGTCCACGCGAACGAAGTCGCGGGCGGCCGCTAGTTTATAATAGGTAGCTCTCCCCCCGCAACCTTATTGGTATTCCATGTGTGTGTCTTTTAACTGATTTCTGTTAAACATTTCATGTAAAATTTGTCCAGTTATAACTCTATTTACATTAGCCTGACCAGGAACATAAAAACCCTGGCATAGAGGCGCGTCAATTGCATTTGATAGTGCAACACTGAGTACAGTCGTACCTGTGTTAAATTAATAGGCTAACTTTATGTATCAGGATTCAGGATTACGGGCTAATTTGATATTTTCATGAATTAACAAAAAAATATTATTATAGGTAACCTGGTTTAAATAAATTAAATGAAAACATCAATCGAGCTAGTAGGTTTTTTTTTATTATTCATCAATAATCAAATTCAGAACTTGAATATTCAACTGCAATGTCTGCTCATGAACGCTACAAACTCGGTACTTCTTTCCCAATTCCATAAAATTCAACACTTAGAAAGTGACAAAAAACTTTAAAATAGGTAGTTGAAACAAACCACAGCTAATTTTCATAGTGGACTGTACTATACGATAAACATGTCAGTCAATTTGACACCCTTGTCGGAAAAATTATTCAATGAAAATATTGTCCGAACCCTTATTAATTCTCTTCGACAAATACTTGAACACATTGTGAACCACTTCCACCAAACATCCTGTATATAGATGACTCATTGACAAGGGGGCGCCACGATCGTTCAACTATAAAGTTTTCAACATGGCAAAAATCGGAACCAGCGATCCCGTATTGACGGTGGCGCCCCTCTGTCAATGTCACGGGTGGGGCAGTTCAGTATTTTGGAACTATAATAAGCAGGGGGGTGCCACTGGTAAAACGAAAATAGAAGTGGAAGTCAACATGTTAACATATTAATTATCTATCTATAAATAATTACTATCTTTGGCATTAGCAGTGAGTGACATGCGGTAAAATAGTTAGAAACATCATTTAATCTGTGGTTCAAGGGTATTGGTAAACGTCAGCGCTGTCAAATAATTTGTCAAGTTGTCACTTTTATCTTCTACGACTACTACACGTTCTGTATTTTATCATTGCTCTAGTTTTGCCAGTGACCGGTGTTTAGAATAACGTTGTAAATCATGGTATATTCATCATGGATCATGAAGCTTCAATCGTTTACGTTAATACTTAGTTCCTTTGTTATAATAGCACAGTCTGATGTGCCGAGACCTCGAGGAGTTTCTTTATCTAAAGCGTCGCTATATTCACCGACAAAAGATTTCACTTGTTTCGATGGTACAGTTAAGATACCTTTCAGTTATGTTAACGATGATTACTGTGACTGTTTTGACGGCAGTGATGAACCGGGTACATCGGCGTGTCTAAACGGATTTTTCCATTGTACAAACGCCGGGTATATGTCCCAGAACATTCCAAGTTCTCGGGTCAACGATGGAGTCTGCGACTGTTGCGACGGCACCGACGAGTACGCCGAACCAGGCGCCTGCTCCAACACGTGCGAAGAACTTGGCAAAGAAGCCAGAGCAGAAGCCCAAAGGCTAGCAGAACTACATAAAGCAGGCAGCCAACTAAAAGTAGATCTAATAGAAAAAGGGAACCAAAAACGAAGTGAAATGGCAGAGCAATTGTCACAACTAGAAAAAGATAAAGCTGAAGCCGAGAAAATTAAGGCTGAGAAAGAGGCTCTCAAGAATGAGCTAGAAGCCAAAGAAAATGAGGCCCTCAAAGTATACAGAGAGGCAGATGAACAAGAGAGGCAAAAGAAAGCAGAACAAGAAAGAGTGGAAGTGATGAAAGAATCATCTGAATACTTTGATAGGTATGATTCTGACAGTGATGGTATGTTGACTGTGGATGAAATTAAAGTTGTTAATGCTTTTGATAAGAATAAGGATGGGGAAGTTGATGAAGATGAGGTGCAATACTTCTTTGGGGAAAATGAGAGTGTTGACAAGGATATATTTGTTGCCACTACATGGCCTTTACTTAAACCTTTGCTGATGATGGAACAAGGCATGTTCAAACCTGGTCAAGATGAGGATGATGCAGACCATGAAGCAGATGCTGAAGATCTAACCAGGGAAGATGGTGAAGATTTAGGAACTGATGATGAAAACCTTGATTTAGACTTGCCTGAGGCAACCAATGACCAAGAATTGGCACAAGAACCCACTAGGATGTATGACGATGATACTCAAAAGTTAGTTGATGAGGCTACTGAAGCTCGTCGGCAGCTAACTGATGCTGAACGTACTGTTAGAGAAATAGAGTCAAATATCAGGAGCATCAAGGAGAATCTGGAGAAGGATTATGGTTTGCACCAGGAGTTTGCCACACTTGACGGTCAGTGCTTTGAGTATGATGACAAAGAATATGTCTACAGGCTTTGTATGTTCCAGAAGGTAACCCAGAAATCAAAGAATGGCGGTGGAGAAGTTGGTCTTGGCAACTGGGGAGAATGGGCCGGAGATGACAATAAATACTCAGTCATGAAGTACACAAATGGTGTGGGTTGCTGGAACGGTCCTAACAGAATGACTACAGTTAACGTACACTGTGGACTGGAGACCAAATTGTTATCAGTAACTGAACCCTACCGTTGTGAATATAAAATTGACCTTAGCACACCTGCTGCATGTGATGAATCAAATTCGGGACAGCACGATTCTCACGATGAACTATAATAATTCTGTGTCAAACAGTCACATGTCTATGTGATGAATTAACATGTAAGTTACAAGTAAATCAGTCACGAAAAACATTTGTCTCTATACACCCATTATTTAGAATAATGTACATGTGAATTGAAAGTTTTATACTATCAGTTTTGTTGTAATGAAATTTTCACATAATAATAGAGTAAGTAGATGCTACTGTAGTGAAACAATTTTTGTCTGGTCTACAAGTTACTAAAAGTGGCAGTTTATTTTCCTATGTTATTTTTTTAAATTTAAAAGCAATATTTTGTATCTTATAATCACCAGTGTTTTTGGAGTTAAGAAGACTGAAGTATAAGCATTGTAATTTTAATTTTCACACATTCCTCAAACTATCGCAAGGCTGTTTATGTTCTGGTAGACAAGATATTAATTAATAGAAGTGAACAAAACATTGTGAGTGATAAATAAATAAAATGGTTTTGATTTTTTTTATTATTTAGAGAATCCCTTTATGAAAAAATCCAATAAGTAAAGTTGGTAAGAGTTTAAAAATGTTAACATCTCCGATAATGAAAGAAAGTCTAATTAAATTGTTTAGTTTTGAATTAATAGGAATTAATTAAACTGCTTCGCTTTGAGTTCATAATTTTATTTTGGTCGGGTCTCCTCTCCTCTCAATCAAGAACCGGTCATTGACTTTTCGAAAAAAAATTAAAGATAGGTCATTGAACTTGTCCTCGTCCCAAAAATCGGCCGAAGAAGGAAACACCAACATCCCGTAAAGTCAATTGTCATGCGTGAAGACTGAGGAGACTACATCAATAAAATCTATTTAGAAAGCAAAAAAAGATGGTCTGAATTCATTTCAGTCATGATTTTTATCGCTAAAACCACATTGGATAAAAAAAATCGCACCTAACGCCATGATAAACTGGCCATGACCAGAAAAACTTGAAATGTCAAACCAAACGTCAAAAACACGTGTTTTTGTTTTGGACACAGAGCACGGTTTTGGTCGTGATTTCGACTGAAATTCTAAGTTTTAACAATGAATGTTGAAGAAATATTAACGAAATCCAGCTTTTCGATGCTGAAAAATAAAATTGATATTCGAATTTTGAGTGCATTAAAAAATATGGGTCTAGAAAAACCAACGCGAATTCAAGCCGAAACTCTGCCACATTTATTATCAAACGAGGATATTATTGGTGCTGCTAAAACTGGAAGTGGAAAAACTCTTGCTTTTCTTATCCCAGTCATCGATAAACTCGTAAAACTGGGATTTTCCAGGAAACACGGTAATAACCTTTCCCTGTTAAAATTCGTAATTGTTAATGCTATGGTTTTATTAATCTAAGATGCTATGCTATTCCTATCAATCACTCTTGTAAACATTTATTGCTTACCTCATAGCATACTGCTTTTCATAGTTTGTATACCTACAGATACGCAACTTAAAGATTCAAAGTCCAACCAAAAATACATCACCAAGAAAAACAATGTTATTATCAACTGACTACTTAATAATTTGTTTGTAATTTTAGGTGTGGGATGTATAATTTTATCGCCGACAAGAGAGTTAGCGTTACAGACTCACCAAGTTCTGAAAAAAGTACTCACAAACATTGATTTGTCTTGTTGTTTGATTGTTGGTGGAGAGAAGAAAGCCAAGGATATCCTGTCTTTAAAGAAAGGTAAGAATTTATTTAACACACATTCATTGACCGTCTGCATAAACAACGAAAATAAAACACATAAGCAACCACCCATATAAAGAGGTCTTTGGTATGGATTCAAATTTAACAAATTGCGTATTCCCCAAGACATAATTGGTAGGTATGTCCAATCACATGAACAAAATAAGAAAGAGATAGAGGAAAACAAAATATAGAATTTAATTTATAGAAATTAAATGTGCCTGTTTATCTTGACACTGAATAGTGTTAAAATTTAATATCTAACAAACATTTTACATTTTTATTATTTAATTTCAAATACTTTTGGGCCTGTCAGTATGTAACACAAAACTTACAATATAAGTTCTGTGTACAACCAAATACTTCTACTCTGTTTGAGGATTGGTGGATTGAGATGACCTATGCACAAAGCAAAATGATATCACTGACCTATGTTTATTTTTAATGATATAACATTGTAAATGTGCAGTAAAATACCTATTTTAAAAGTTGATGTTTTAATCTTACTTTAGTTAGTGTGTGTAAAGATATGAATGTTGTAATCGTATAGGTGTAAATAATTGTAGGTGTCAACATTATAGTGAGTACTCCAGGAAGATTACTGGATCATTTACAGAATACTGAAAACTTTAACTGCAACAATCTAAAATGCCTAGTTGTTGATGAAGCTGACAAGTTGTTAGAGGCTGGTTTTGAAAAAGAAATTACAGGAATAATAAAGTTGCTTCCAAGTAAGTTTAATACATCACTTCTTAAAATTACATTAAATATCTAATATTTCGACAACTTTACACCTACTATGTGTAACTTTCATAAATAATTTTCAAATACTTATCTACTATAAAATTGTTTTAGGTAAAAGACAAACAATATTATTTAGTGCCACAATAGATAGTAATGTGAAAAACCTAGCAAGGTTGGCTATGAAGAATGATCCAATAATTGTTTCTACCAATGATGAAAAACAATCCACAGTTGCTGGTCTTCAACAAGGGTATGTTTTAGATCCATATCTCTACAGACTTACATGAAACTTAAATCTCATGAATCTATAACACATAAACAATAACATAAACCTATGACATGATCTCATTATAGAGTATCAAAAGAAAAATACATTGTATTATTCATCAAAATAAATGTAAACACATTTTTTGCAGTCTTAAAGTAGGTATAAACATATTTACCTACTACCTATCTATGTTATCATAATATTATGTAGTAAACAAACTATAACTTTATCTAAGTCTGCATGAAAGTGTATCTTACGCTTACGTTTTGTGTTCCAAGTAAGTTACGTCATGATTGCGAAAGTAATGCCCTTTTTATCTAGAAGTTTTGAGGCAGTGAATGAATTACTGGAGTGGTAAAATCCACATCTTTCTCAATTCTTGAATTTAAGAAACGTTTCATCATGTATTTTTGCTTACAGATATTGTGTTTGTCCAGTAGAAAGCCGAATACCCTGGTTGTATAAGATGCTCAAGAAGGGAAGGAAAATGAAAACAATGGTATTTTTTTCATCATGCAAATCAGTTGATTTCCATTACGAATTTTTCAACCTGCATTGCAAGGCGTCGGTGATAAGTATACATGTATGAGCTAATTATACAGCCTTATGTCTTCCTATAACAGTTAAAATGTTTTTAAACACTGATAAATCTATCATTGAATCTGAGACCTGTTATAAAATATTTTAACTTGCATGTTTAAAGGAAACACACCTTATGCGATATAGGATGCACTACCAGTATTTTGCATTAATCTGGTAGACACATCAATTAACGACATTATTGTTTACCTCCAGAAATCTTCTCATTTTTTAAATTTACTCAATACATTTATTTTGAGAATCCATGCATGAACTACTGTGTACAGGCCTGCTATGCTTTCCACGAGTTCGATCCGTGCACCTTGCTAGCCCATCAATCCCAAAGTGGACGCATATGACCGCGTAACAATTGATTTATTATCTATTGGGCCTTGAAAGGCTACTCCAAGCTTTGCATACTTAGGACTCGGTGTCGCTGTATAAAATATTCATTTTTTTAAATTATTTTTTTATTCAGGGGAGACAAAGCCAGGCACGAAGAAAAGAAGCATACCAAAGTTTTGTGGATGCCCAAAACGGCGCACTGTTTTGCACGGACGTGGCCGCAAGAGGGCTGGACATTCCTAGCGTAGACTGGATAGTTCAGTACGATCCTCCTACAGATCCTAAGGTATGTGTGAATACTTCATTTTCATTCGTATTTACTAATTTGATTTAATTTTTGCTCTGACTGCTCTATGGTTTCGTGGTTAGAGTTGACTCGCGACTGGGTCCTGTTCGATTCCCAGGATAGACACAAAATTACGTTCTTTAGCAGTTAGGGCTTTCCAATCTGTAATCAATTTTTTATTACGAACTAAACAGCTTTTCCGATAACCGTATCGTTAGCCAATACGACAATCACCATAGGGGGTCTACTTCGCAAAATCCCCAATCTATCAGTTTTGGTCAAATAAATAAATAGGTGATGACGATAACGATATAGTCTAATAGATTTTCTCTCCTTTCTAGAGTGCGACTTTTGGGCTTCCTTTCACATACGGAACTTCCAAAATATCTCTTAATTATTTTATTTATTTCCTTTTTTAGTGCCGTGTGGTGACGGCAGAGTAGAATACATTTGTCACCAACCCCTACTCTTCCCGCGGGCGTCGTAAGAGGCGACTTAGGGACTACACATCAAACAGAGAATGGGCAGCAGCGCTCTCTGAAAAACATCAATCTTTTAAACTGCGATCTCCAACCCGCCTGCCAAGCGTGGAGATTATGGCAAAACCCTCCACTGTAGTGGAGGAGGCTCATAGTCCAGCAGTGGACTGTAAAGGGCTGTTGATGATGATTAATGATTTCCTTTTTTAGGAATACATCCACAGAGTTGGGAGGACCGCTAGAGGACTAAACAATAAAGGAAACGCCGTTATACTCCTGAGACCAGAAGAGGAAGATTTTGTAAATTACCTAAAAGAGGAGAAAGTGTATTTGGACAAATACAGTTTTGGCGATCCCCCGGGAGATGTTCAAGAAATGGTAGTATTTTATATATTAGTATAAATTGTGTTATTCGTGACACTAGAATTTGACAAATATTAATAATTGAGTCTCTTTAAAATTACATAAGGTAACTTAAGCGACTTTTTCCATAGATTATAGACGGCCTTTAATCTGCATCCACTCTTATGTTTTGGAATAGTTTTCTTCACCACTTGGAACACAAAATTTCAATAAACTTCCTGCTAGATAAGGGGACAATTTATCGCTAATAACGAGCTATGTATAAGCTACTTTTTCCATAGATCGTAGACTGCCTTTTATCTGCATCCACTCTTATGTTTTGGAATAGTTTTCATAACCACTTGGAACACAAAATTTCAATAAACTTCCTGCTAGATAAGGGGACAATTTATAGCTAATAACGATCTATGTTATTAATATAATTAGTTGAAGCGTGCACGCTCTGTTTTATTATTGGGGTAATTAGTTATGCCTAGTCTTTCGTAAATCTTTAATGACTAAAACTTCTTTAGGTTTACTCATACTGAAAAAAGGTATTAATTGATAAATTTTATTTTAGCTTGAAGATTTAGTGTCAACAAACGGAGTGGTAAAAACATTAGCAAGAAAAGCTTACTTATCCTTCCTGCGGTGTTACAAAACGCATCCAATGAAGAATATATTCAATATCAAGACACTGGACTTGAAACTGGCTGCTAAAGCATTTGGGTTTCTGGAGCAACCGCACGTCGATTTTCGTATCCTTTCTTAGTATATTAATCTTTTTCAGGAACAGTCGGAACAGTCACAGGTAATAATCAGAATTATGAAAAGACGGGACTTTGAGGCCCGTATTATAATAAAATCATAATTATTAAGTCACGACTTTTGAATGTGTCTCATGACTGTGACCGTGAAACATACTTTTAGGTCTATTACGTTATGAAGGAATAAAATATTTTATTATTTACGCAAGTGTAAGCTAAAGCGGTAGTATTAGAAAGTATGATTTAGCAAAATATTTCCTTTAACTATTACGTACAGTTAAATCATCAAAGAAACATCAAAAGCCAGATAAACCAGATCCACTTTGAAGCGGCGTCTGGGAGTGTCAACGAATTGGTTATCTGCAAAATGAGTTTTTCTAGATAATGTCAATAAGATGATAAATCACTGTGATACAATGCCGTTGCGATAATAATATTTGATTGTAACATTGTAAGCGCATTTGATAATTAATTTTAATTCATTGCGGTTTGATACACACCGCAAAGTATGTTAATTATTTTAAGTGTTAAATTATAAATAAAACATTTTGTTATTTAAAATACATTTTATTTATAAATAAAATCAGCTCCTACTTTTATTGTTACCGCCTTTTTGTCTGTAGATTTTTGTTTTTTCGTTTGCTTTCTTTAGGCCACCTGGAGCATTGAGGGATTTGAAGTAACCGTAACCGCCGCCTCCTTTCCTTTTGGTTGGAGGGCCTTTATTGGTCACTTTGAGTTCAACAGCAGGAGGGACAGTGAAGCCGAAAGACTTGGAGACCCTCGCGAGATCTATCGTGTCGATGTCGAAGATTGTCTTCAGATGATGCGAGTCGTACGCCCGTAGATAACTCTTGAACGCTTCTTTCGCGGATTGGTTCAGGAAGTAATTTCGTGAAATCAATTTTTCGAGCTGTAACAAATAATAAAGAATTTAAGTAAAGAAACTGATTAGTTCATCTGTTCGTGCAGTCTGTGAATGCATAAACTGCATGAATGTTTGTTATTCACCTTTTTGGGTTAGTAGGTAGTCAACATTATCAACTGCAGGATAATAATGGACATACGATTCGGTAGGCTCACGCACGTTATGCGAAGATAAACCATATTTCCTCCGAAAAAGTGAACTTAAGAATTGGCCAATCTGGTACAAATAAACATAAACTTCAAATGAAATTGAGGCAAAAACAAATTGCAAGAGAATGAGTCATATTTTAAGCGGGTGAAATCACTTCAATAAAAAAAAATGCGTAGTTGTTATGATTTACAACAGGTATGTAATTGGTCAAGACAATCGATTCGGCATGCTCGCTTTATCTTAACTGGTAATAATATTCCTTCTCTGATTTTTTAAAGAATGTTCTTCTTTTGCTTTTTAGGCGCACTAGATTGTACTTTAATAAAAAAAAACTAAATTAAATATCAACAAACTGAATTCAGAGGCATTATGATCGCTAAATGCTTATTAAAATTTCGATATCGCAATTTTGTTATTTTGGTACAGGTTATCTATCCAGTTCGACTTTGACATGAAGGTCGAAGTTCGACACATTGAAATGTTTTTATATGTAGTTTGGGTGCATATTTATCGTGATTAGAAATGTCCGATTCAGGAAATGGCGTATCAGTATGCTTCACCCAAACACTATAAATCAGTAGTATATTTAGTGGTTTTGTATGATTCAGTAACAAATAAACTTAATCTACAAAGTAACCCATCAGACGGCCCTTATTAAGTTAAGACGCAGTTTATAAAGTATTTTTTAAAAATACGATAGATAATAATAATAAGGTAAAATATAACAAACCTGCAACTGTATATCGGCGACCTTGTTCCAAGAAAACTCGAACTCGTTCAGAGTAACCTTGGACTGCTTCAAGTATCTTAGAAACCCAAGCTCCTCGGGCCGCAGGAAGAGCAGTGCGTGACCGCTGGTGCCAAGGCCTCTTGCCGTTCTGCCCACTCTATGGATGTATTCCTGAAAGAATATTAGCATATCAATAACAGTTTTTGCATGACTGTGTGGTTATTGACTTTGCGATTATGTGGAATCGCAAATCTACGCAATCATTCTTGAACTAGTGTCCAGAAATTAACGTGTACCATCGAAATAGAGCACTATTAAATAACACCAAATACAAATGTGCTAGCAATAAGGGCGCAAACATACAGGAAGAACACATAATGTTGTTTTTTTATATTAGAATGAACTTCAATTCCTAGGTAATAGCAATTTCTCAGCATGTAAATGTGTATAAATTTCATTCAAGCAAGAGTATCCCTGACCTTGGAACGTTGTTCTCAATCCGTTATAATAATGGGATTATCGTTACGTGTAGAATGCGTGGTCGCTAGTAGAAAATGGCCTATATCGCGCACTTTTACTAAGATTTTGTCATCATACTTTCTATTAAAAATGACGAGCGAAATAACTAATGTGTGTAAAATTCTTGTTAATTACGTGATTTTACTCTTGATTTGCGCTCCCTCGCTTTTACATTTTTTTAAACAGCTTGTCTAGTTGTGCACTTTAGATAGCTTTACTTCAAAATGCATATCTAGCCTAGATTGATTGAGCTACAAAATTCTACTTTAGTCATTAAAATCTTGTATGAAAATTATTAGGGCCGAAAAACACGCCGTTGGGGCAGAAAAAAATTCTCGAGTGGCGACCAAGGGCTGGAAGACGTAGCGTAGGCAGGCCTCCTACTACGTGGACCCACGATCTGGTAAAGGTCGCGGGAAGAACCTGGATGCGGGCCGCGCAGGACCGTTCATTGTGGATAACCTTTGGGGAGGCCTTTGTCCAGCAGTGGACGTCATTTGGCTGAGATGATACGATGATAATATGTTCAATGTTCTACCTTCGGGTCATCTGGGGGGTCGTACTGGACAATCCAATCAACAGCAGGAATATCGAGTCCTCTAGCCGCGACATCGGTACATAACAGTATCCCAGACTCGGCATTACAGAACTGGAAGAATGTTGTGGTCCGTTTTGTTTGCTGCTGTTTTCCCTGAGAAGTAAAGAGACAATATTTCAGAGAATGAACTGCATAAGGTCATCTACGTAACAAATAGTAATATTAAGCATGCACCTAGTCATCGGGCTTGATACTAAGAATAATTTAAACTAACATATTTTATAAAGTATAACCACAGAATAATAATAAGTACTACGTACAGAAGTTTTACTTCGCGAAGGTATTTAAAAAAATGTATGCTCAATGTCATTAACAATATGGTGTAATTTAGCCTGTCTCAAGAGTCAAGCACCATTTTGTTGAGAAACGTCAGTGATCGACACTGCGCCGAAGCTATAGGGCTGACTTCGGTAAAATGATGTGACGTGAGGTGCCAAACTGCGGAAAATGGCGGAGGAAATACATGATTTACAATAATTTAACTACTTATTTACCTTTCAGTGTCTTGAGGCAACTTAAAAAAGTACATTCTGTGTTTTTATTATTATTTAGGCAGTTAAATACTGCACAGTTTAATACACCATTTTCTTTATTTTCTTCCACCATACACAAGAATACGCGTGCGTGAGTCAATGTTCTCTCGTATGTGAGGCCTTGTCGAATAGTATCCTGCAGGTGGTCCATCGTGCGTTTTTTGTTTTCGATGTAAACTCGCGGAGATGAACAGGCCTGGTATAACTCACATTCACTAACTACGCACGTATGCTCTAAATAGCCTTATCATTATATTCTGTAGCAAGTCTGAATAACAAAACTAAATAAGACATATTTTTAACTTACATGTATTGACATGACTGGCAGATCAATGTAGTTGAATAGCTCATGGTGGTATTTGACTGACATACACGTGGAGAAGAATACCATCACCTTCTTCTTTCTATTTTTCTTCAAGAATGTAAACAACACCATCATACGCTTTTCGGAAGGGCACACGATGTACCTGTAATAAAATTATGTTGATAAATAACAGCACTTCACCAACAAGTGTTCAAGGTGACTTTTTATCAGGTTTGTAAGAACATTTTCTAAAAGGTAAGTTGTAAAAGTGGTCTCGAGTGGCGACCACGGACTGGAGAACGTATCGTGGGCAGGCCTCCTACTAGGTGGACCGACGATCTGATGAAGGTCGCGGGAAGAGCCTGAATGCAGGCAGCGCAGGACCGTTCATTGTGGAGAAACTTGGGGGAGGCCTTTGTCCAGCTCTGGACGTCATTTGGCTGAAACGAACGAAAGGTCATGGAACTTCAACACACCACAATAAATAGACTAATAATTTATTCACTTGATTAAAAACCTTCTTCAAATGAAATAGACCTCATAATCCAATAGAAAAATTTGCCAATATTGCTTAATAACATTTCTTAATAGTTTACTTTTTTTATGTTGTTTGTGGCTATAGTTTGACATTTACCCTTGTTCCAAAGACTCCACTGTAGCTTGCTCTTTGTGATCATCAACGCCAACGTAGATAGGCTCTTGTTTGACCGCCAAAGCTGTGAGTGCTTCGATTTTTTTCGTTTGCGTAGCACTGAACATCATTGTTTGACGCCGCTCTAAAAAAAATAAAAGGATATGACGTCATAGTAAGTTTATGGTCGAGCACACCATTACATCCTGCGTGTAAGCGCACTAAGCAGCCAAGTGGTCATAAACCGGATTGGCTACCAGTGGCGTAAGTATTATGTACCATCCGAGGCCCATGGCGCATATTTTTGCATGGGGCCCTTGGCGTATCTAGGGTTATTTTCAGGGGGCGGAACCTTGCAGGAGGGAGAGTTACGCCACTGGCTACCACGGCCAAGCAATCTGTCTAGTGTGCGGGGTCGCTAGCAAGTAGTCTACCATGTTCGGATTTTGGACCACTAAAGAGCTAGCAAAAAAGACAGNAAAGACACAATTCAACTAAATCAAGTGTTTCTTCTTCTGCTCAATATTATTTTAAGATTTATTTGAACATTTAAAATTAATACTTACTGGGCAACAATTTGATAATTTGTTTCACTTCCTCTTCAAAACCAATCTCTAGTATTCTGTCAGCTTCATCAATGACCAAACATTGAAGGTTTTTGTACAAAAAGTCTGGAGTATTTTGCAGGTGATCCAACAATCGTCCAGGTGTTGCTACCAGTATATTTATACCTGTAAGAAAAACGAAAGTTTATAGGTTCTAGTCCATTAGAGGCATATCTTTTATCATAGAAATATCATCATCTATAATGTTTTCAGCAATTTGAATATCTACAGTTCATAAATATTTACCTTTAGATAGCTTCTGTGCTTCTGTACTTCTATTAGCACCCCCCATGACCAAACCGTAAGTGTGATGGTGGTACTTCATTAATTCCATCAAAACTCCAAAGGTCTGCATTGACAACTCACGAGTGGGTGATAGAACAATGACACCCGTCCCTGAAAACAGCTTACGTTATAATCTTGTCATGACAAGAGAGACGTTGAACTAAAACTAACAATATCAGATATCCATTCTGTGTTCATAAAGCGACTCTTGACATAACCCAGTGAATATTCGGAATCAACAACTGAAGTGCCTCAACAGCAAATGCCGGAGACTCAGTCAGTTGTGGATTCTGAAGCGAATTGGATGTATGGAGTTCAGCTTTCACATTCGCCTTTTGTCATCATAATATAGGATGTTTATATTCATATTTTGGTATCTAATCCATTTTACAAACTTTGTTAATTATTTAAAAATGAATTAAAACAGGTAGATTTTAACTAATTTCTAGCAGACTACAGTGGCATTTATTTATTAAATTGTTTTGAAAACCAGATGAATGAATCAGAAAAAGACCATTAGTACAAAAATTAAATGATCTTAAAAATAAACTTAGTTCTCTTTAGAATATTATTCTTTTAAATTTAATTTTATTGAAAAGAGAGTAAATTCATCTACATACCATTCCTTGGTTTGAACTTCAATTTGTAGATGAGTTCAATGGCCGGTATAAGAAATGCCAAGGTCTTTCCTGACCCTGTCTTGGCGGCTCCCACCAGATCTCGGCCTTCTAGCAGCGGAGGTATGGCTTTAGCTTGGATTTCCGTCATGGTTGTGAATCCCATATCCTTTATGCCCATGAGGGTTGCTTCACACACTTTTCCATCCAGCGCTGAGAATTTTTGATCGGAGAGAATTCCAAGACACAAACTGGAGCCAGGTACTGTAAAAAAATTTTGCTTTTATTTAACTAGCTACATTGCGGTAAAATTTCTGCGCTATTCTGCATAATAATAATCAGAAAAAAGTAATCTGACCTGTTTAACTGTCTTTGAGATCATACAAATAAGTTATTTGCTTGAAATAGGTTAAAAATAAGGTTAGAATGTTTCATTTAAAATATTTTGCCAGCAAAACTTACATTGATCACTGGTTTCTGTTTCATTCCGTGTGTTGTTTTCTTCATTGTCCGAGACGTTAGTTTCTTCAGCTTCTGACGCTTCTTCTTTTATTTCCACTGGTTCTTCTTTCACCTTTGGCTTCTTCTTCTTTTTTTCTAGAAAACAATGTACTCAGTTGTTATTATTGCTAAAAAGGTTAATTAACCATGAATGTCCCAAATATGTATGTAAATAACTCACTTTTAGTTACCGTCTCACTATTTTCATTTTCTAAAGGCCTCTTTTTCGCTTCAGGCTTGTGTTCTGAAAGTAAATAAACCATACCTACATAGATTTTGTATTTATTTCATGTACCAAAAACAAGGATACCTTTGTTGACTGCATATATTGATCCATTGTATTATAATTATTATATTCACCATAACTTTATAAAAAATAAAACGTGGTAATTTTGCTAACACCAGAGTTGGGAGGTTAGAAAAGGTAGTAGCTCACCTGACGTATTGTTAGTTTCTTCACTGGATTTATTAATCAGTAGGAGTTTCTTTTTCTCACGTTTCTTAATTTTTCGCATTAGTATTTTATCTGGAGTAGGCATTTCTATTTTGTATGAATTACACAAAAAACAAACGGAAAATCCGCACAACACGTGTTGAGTGGAGCTTGTCACTGTCACACACAGATGGTCATTGGTCACTGTCAGTGAACTTTTTTTTTGGCACGTACGTACGGATTGTGCATTTGCCACAATTTACACAGACACGATTCTCATGCATGTAATCGATTTTTTTTTGAGTATATCTCCTGTCTTATTTTGTGGTTTCAATGTAAGCGGCTACACAAGCCATATTATGTCATTAAATGTATATTTAATATTACTCTTAATACACGTCGAGGCCGATATGATTTGTGCCATTTTCAAGTTTTAAGTGTTTTAAGTGAGACGAGTTACAAAATGGGACCAAGTGGGATGGGACTTGGGTTAAATAAAGAAGGTTTCAAAAATGTCAAAAGATAAAGACTATCCCCCTTACTAATAAAACTTACACGCTCGTTGATCAGTGTTTTAAAGTGACGTTTAGTATGGAAATGTCATTTTAAAACAGTGATCAACAACCGTGTAACTTTTTATTAGTAAGGGGGTAACATTTTAACACAAAGTGATAACAACTCAAATTGCCAACATCAGAAAAAAAGAAGAAGAATAAACAACCTTCTCTAATAAAATTTATCGATATTTTAGAGGTTTGTATACATCTCTACTTATGTCATAAATGACAATTATGACATTTGTTAAATTTTTCTCAATTTTTTAAATTCTATGGNGCTCACATGTGATTGAATGTAAAAATTCTTAAAAACAAGTTCTATTTTTAGAATGTGAACATTAATTGTGTGCCTTTGTCGGCTGATTTAATAATATTACTATAATAATTTGTACATAATCATGGAGGGTCAAGAAAGAGATCCAAAACTTAAGTTCAAAAGTCTGAAAGAAAAATGTTCACCGCCAAGTATGAAAGCAATTAAAAACATGGGATTCAAATACATGACTGAAATTCAATCTGCTGTTTTGCCTAGAGCTTTAGATGGAGACGATATAGTTGCCACAGCAAAGACTGGATCAGGAAAAACATTAGCTTTCTTGATACCTGTTGTTGAAACAGTGGTTAAATCTGAGCCAAATGAGTCAACTGGTAATGTTCATACTTATTGCTTAAAAGTAGTTTTTAATCCCTATTGTTTATACTAATGATTTCATTTGAATTTCCAGGTACTTTATGTATTATCATATCACCTACCAGAGAGTTGGCAATACAGACATACACAGTTTTGCAAGATATTATTTCCTTTCATGGGTGTATAACATCTAGCTTAGTCATTGGTGGAGAAAATAAAAAGAAACAGAGCATGGAGCTTTCAAAAGGTATAATTTAGTTTTATTCAGTACAAATATCACACACACTGGGTTTATGTTAATGTAAGATAATTAAATTAGAAATGCTTAGCTATCCAATTATTGTAGAATCAAATATATTATTGGTTTCGCATAGTGAAAGACGAGTGATCTTTAGGTGTGTGTGCGTGTACATGCACATAATGATGGTGTAATAATGTCTATCAAAACTTGAAAAACGAACAGTTGAGCCACCACACATGTAAAGCTCACTCGCCTTCATGAATTGCAACAACTGTACTTGTTACCTATCTAATTATTAATTTTGTTTTCCAGGTGTGCATATAGTAGTAGCTACACCAGGCAGACTATTTGACCACATGAGAACTAAAGAGTTTGATTATAGAAATGTAAACTGCCTGGTGTTAGATGAAGCTGATAAAATATTTCAATACGGGTTTGAAGAAGACCTAAAACAAATAGTTAACCGTCTTCCAAGTAAGTACGGATGAAAAAGAAGTCAATGTTTAACTTGCACATATGTTACTGTAAAGTTTATACTAAATCCAACTTTTTTATATAGAAAATAGGCAAACAATGTTGTTCAGTGCCACCTTATCAGAGAGGACAGAGGCTTTGATCAAATCTGCAATGAAAGATGATTTTCGGGAGATAAACACTAGTGAAGATAACATCAAAGCTACGGTGGATGGATTGAAACAAGGGTAAGAATAAAGGGTACAATCAATATTGAGTTTGGTACCGAAACCATCTTTGACTTTCTGCAAACTCTTGTTTTATGTTTATAGGTAAAATAAACTAATATTATCTTATCTTTTTAGGTACATGGTATGTGAAACTGAGTACAGAATGTGGTGGTTGCACAAAATGTTGAAGAAAACCCAGAACCAAAAAGTAATGGTATTCTTTTCAAGTTGCAAATCTGTTGTATTTCATTATGAATTCTTTACCAGACATTGCAATGCTTCAGTGCTATGCATTCATGTAAGTACCTATTAAAACCCTGCTGCATTTCCCTTTTATTATTTTGTAAATTACAGAAATTCTCAAATGTTACTAAATTAATTTTCATAGGGGAAAATGAGTCAGATAGATAGATCAGCCACTATGAGGAATTTTTATAATGCTGAAAAAATAGCATTGTTTTGCACAGATTTGGCAGCTAGAGGATTGGATATACCGGCTGTGGATTGGATAGTACAGTTTGATCCACCTTCTGACACCAATGTAAGTTTAATTTGCAAAAACAACTCTTTTTCTTCAGAGCATAAATCAATATTGGACTATGGTTTATAAATCATATTTTTTATACTAGGTATACCTGTTATTTTTCAGGAATACATACATAGAGTAGGCAGAACAGCCAGAGGTTTAGGGACAGTGGGAAATGCTGTATTACTACTGAGGCCAGAAGAAAATGGATTTATAGATCATCTAAAAGAGGCCAAGATTTATTTAGACAAATACGAAAGTTGGGATAAATATCACAATTTACAACCCAAGGTAATACCTACTTGTATACTTAAGAAAATAATTATTTAAGGCGTAGGCATTACGAGCTTGAGCGATGTTTATGAGAAGGCCACGGTGCTAACGCTGTCTATATCTTTTATTTGCAACATATTATAAAGTATTAACAAAATATTAATTTACAGTTAGATGCAGCAATGCAAGATCCAGAACTTCATAAAATGGCAGAGGAAGCTTTTGAGGGCTATATCAGAGCACTAGAAGTCAGAAAGTTGAAGCACATCTTCAACGTTATTTCAATGGACATGAATAAAGTAGCCAAATCGTTTGGTTTAAAAAAGGCACCAGAAGTTGACATCTGTAAGTAATTTCAATGAGCACTAATCATCGCCTATTCTATCAAAGGGTACGGTTCTGACTATGGTATGACTCGCGCGGGCGCACGCACCGACGCACGCGTCTCTTTCGATCAATATTTTAACTGACGTTCAGAGATTTTAGCGAAGGTTCTAAAAATATAATGCAAAAGTTAGGCGGTTATCACACTGCGCCGCGATTCGTGTGATTTCATATAAATATTCCCGCGCGCAGACGCGTTGTCAGTGTGTTGTGCCGCGCGTTTTCTATACACACTGAGGTACTTGCATACAATGATTAAATCTGTCGTCCCGCGTACCGCGGCGCAGTGTGATAACTGCCGTCTTCAAGCTCAAAACACTTTTTTTTTTCAGATACTGGATTTAGCAAAAAGCATCGACCTAGAAAAAGGATGGCTGCAATGCTAGCTGCAAAAACTGAAGACAGTAATAAACGCATAAAATCATGAATATAATTTTATTTTTATAATATTGGTAAATTAAATTGTAAATATACTACAAAATAATACAAATCAGATTGTTTTATTGTTGATTACAGCATATAGTTTTTAGTATAATAATAACGCGCAATAATAAAACTAGAAGTTAATATAAATAAAATATCTTCTGACTAGATGAATTTTATAGGGTTATTTTCATAGGAATCATTAAAATGTATACTGTACACCTACACTAAATCTGTTCTCAGAATTAATTATAATCAAATGAGAGCAACCTTATTCAAAATAAATATAGGAACTTTACAATTTGTTGTATGTATAATCTAGTTTAAAATAATACTTCATTACTTAGGGGAAACATTCATTTCATAAATGTTGTTTCTAACGAGTTTCTCGTAACAATCTTCGTGATTGTGTTGGTGGTTCACGGCGTATATCATTGCATCAATGGTTTCCACAGTGGCGGGACATCGGTTGAGCGAAAAGTACTGAACACATCTCCAAGATGTTTTCCCGTGAGTGGTTGAGTGTTTGGTGTACACAAAGTTCATATGGACCAATTGTTTGTGCCCTTTCCTACTGTAAATATATTTGTAACGCACTGGCAACTGCTGGTTTTCGCACGACCCATTCATAACTAGGGAGAGTGCACCTGCAAACAAAAGTATGAATGAGTTATATTATAAAAAATAAAGTTACAAGAACTTAACAATAGAAATACTATTGCACCTATTAAAATCCAAGGATAAAATAAAGTAGACAAGCTGTAAATTTCATGTTATTTTATTAAATAATACAAGTATAAAAATACATTTACGTAAAATAGATCAAAGCCACACTTATAAATTCACACAAGTTTAAAATACAAAGCCAAAAAGTGACTATAAAAGTTTCATATAAAATACACAATACAAGTTATAAAAATGTCTTTTTAGCAAAAAATAGCTTTAGTTTTGAATAAATGTCGTTAATAAGAGTCATTCCGATTTCCTTAATTTTCAAAATACACTGTAGGTAATCTCATAGGTTGCTGTTAATAAGTTTTTTTTCTTTTACTCAACTAAAATGTTATAACTGATTAACATCTTGTTTTAAAGCTTTTTTTCTTTCTTATCTCTTTGTACAGTTAGATTTTTTGTAAGTTTTAATATAATTTAGTTCCCTAATGAGCTACACTATGCGCATTATCATAGAAATATTTTCCAATAAAGACCAAATGATATGCTATAGTTTTCGGAATGCAATCTCTCACTGTATACTTAATCTTAAAATATAGTACTTATTCTACAGTCACTCAGAGATCATTAAAATTTAAGAAATCATTTATAATGAAAATGTCTCATAATTTTACATAGATTAGAAAAATATTTTTCTGCAATCCATCCATGAGCATGTTGGACACGCATATTATTAAAGTATTATAAAGTTTAATTTTAAGTCATTGCAGTTTTTTTTTGCATATACCAAAAATGTAAGTGATCCTATAAAATCAAATCTAATACTAATACAATAAATAGACTAGAATATGAGCAACAAGTCTTGATTTTTATGGTATAGTTTGATGGCACAGACCGAAAGTGATATACTTCTACTATAATTTGTTCGACTTTTAATTGGCACTTGAGAGCAGATTACCGCTATCACAGTAGTTTACTTAACTTATTGTGCTTTATGATTTCATACAGAACAGCCTTATCTAACAATATAGAGTATTTAAAAGGTTATTATTAACAATAGATAGCATTTTGCAATATACAGGAATTTGGTCCCCATGTTCTCTGGAATCTATGATCCTTTTAGTTTTTACAGCTCAAAACTGCTGGCTTTGCTAAGCTAAAGAGATACTTTTTGATAAAAATATGAATATTATATTAAATCTTAACTATAAAGTTCCTTAGTGAATATGAATTATATGTATTTTGATTTAGTTTGATATTATGTTGCATAGTAGTCACCCTGGAGTTGAGATACTTTTAGTACATCATTGAAGTGTATTTCAAAACATGGAGATTTGCAAAAGGGCATTTCACAAGCGTTACACATAAATCTTGTGTCCCTTCTCTTCCCTATTTTCCAGCAGAGTCTGCACGACCGTTGTGGATATTTCTTTTTTCCGTCTTCTTTTTGTGGAATCGTCACAAGTCGATGCTCCATTGTAGTCCGTGGGTGTTCTTCATTTGTGTTATTTCTCAACGTGGTGTTAGTCACTTTACCGTTCACTAAGTTTTTTAGGTCGTTAAACAATGAGTTTAAGCTGGTACAATCTGAAATCACGATGGGCATTTTCAGTATAGGTGAAGTTACAAACAAACAACAGTTTTTTTTTATAAGATCGATGATGTTGAAAATGCCATCGTGTTTTCACAATGAAGGCTTTGCAAAAGAAAATAAATATTGATGATATAAATGATTGCATTTTCAACACAATATACAATCTTATTGTGTAAATGGTAAATGAATAAGCATTGACAAGCAAAGTAACAAAGGAGACTAGAAAGTTAAAAAGTATACTTTATACATAGAGAAGAAAATATTAAGAAAAGAAACTTACTATCTTGAGGTGAGTGGTAATCCAAAGGTATTGACAAGTCTTTCTTTCCATCTCTAGACCCATCATAAGACTTTGGAGTGGTGCAAACTGCAGGATCTGTTACTATTATGTCCATATCATCACTTTCCGTTTTCAATTCTATATTATTTTCAAATGGAGTCTGATTTTTAGCTTTGTCATTCAAATCTTTCTCTGCATTATTACAAGCATTTTGAATGTGAGAATTATATGCATTTGAAACATCTAATGCCTTTTCTTCATATAAGCTTTTTAAATTCTCATAGCTTTGAGCCATATGGTTGTTTTGTTTAGAATACGGTTTGTCTTTGGTCTTAGACCTTTTTTCAGGGTTTATTAAGTCAGCATAGTAGCTTTTTTGGAGGAATTCTTCAGATTTTCTTTTTAGATTACTAAGTCTTTGCAACTTTTCAATGAATTGCCTTTGTTTTAAAAGATCTAGTTCATTATTAGGTGTGACATCATCAATGGTGGTATCAACTATGTCTGACACACTTGAATTCCCATCAGGAGAGCCATTGTGGTTTTCTATGTTGTGTTTGGAAAACTCTTGTTCTTTCTCAGGATCATCTTCAGTCTGAAAGTATAACATGTTAATTATTATTTGATGGCAAATAGAATTTAATTATGACAGTCCCAAGATATGTAAACTTTTAGCTGATCATCGTTTCAGCCACTTGACATCCACTTCTGGCAAAGGCCTCCCCCATGGTCTTGCTTTGGCTGATTTGTCAAATAAGCAGTAGTTTTTGATTCTTACCTCTTTGTTAGTCAGCCCCTTGATTTGCAATACCTCAGCTGTGCCTATAAAACTAGTAAGATCCTCTCTCTTAACACTGACTTCCCCATGGTACATGAATTGAAGGAGGTCTCGCATGGCTTTATGTGTCACATCCCTCAACACCACTGTAATAAAACAAAAGAGTTAGGTATTGACTCAAAAGTCACGATAATTATAACTATTATAATCATCTCAGAATGAATGGAGTATAAAAAAACTAAAATGAGCTAAGTAAAATAAATGGATTGACTCAAAATTAACGAGGTAGTCAATCCTACAAAAACGACTACTTTCTAAAATAAATGAACAATTTAGAGAAAATAATTACACCCAACTTTAGAAGAAAGGTATAAGGTTTCCAATGAATGATCGTTATTTAATGACGGCATTAAATTTTAATTGTCTCTTCATGCAGCTGACCGTAAATAAACGTACCAATAGGATGTTGACACGGATTCATTTGGAACATCTTCTTGAAATATGGGGAGCATATTGAAAGTATTACTTTGTGCGCTTGTAACAGGTGTCCTTCTACGGCAATAGTCACGTCGACGAATTCACCATTACCCAGTAAACCGGCGAATCCCTTCGTGAGGTTTCCATGGAAGTTATTCCAAGACAATGAAAATTGTTGGTCCATTTCTAATCACTTTTCGATCGCATCTGAAGAGCTATTTTAGACTTACTGTTAACTACACTATTTTTCACTAAATAAACACAAAAATAAAGTTTGCGTTGTATTATTTTGATGAAATATTTTATCAAAATATGCGATAGAAACGTGACAGCTGCTGTGCGCGGCAGCGCGTCGTAGCCTGTGTTGCCACTCACTTTTCAAATGCCAAAATAATTATCGTTGCCAACACTACAACAAAATTCACGCGTTTTGCCGTCTCCATTATAGCTCGAAGTTCAAATGTTAAGGCTTAACAAAAAATTAGTAAATGGGTACAGTGAAAATCGCAAGTGAATCTTAATGCCATTCTTATTTTATTAACCATACAACCACAAATAAACAGATCAGACCATAATGTGTACAATAGTAAAGTTTTGGCAATAGATGGCGACTGAATCGATTTCTGGAACGTGTCTTTCTACTGCGACAAAGACGTAGGTACCTATATCCTATGCCTCTTAAAAAGGTCAATTTATTTCAAATACTCTGTGTGGCCTATTTATCGAACTTACCTCTCCTGAAAATTTCCTTTTAAACGACAAGTTAATAGGATTTCTGAAATTAAGCAGCGGGAACGAAATTAATCCTTATATTAATTTAGGTGTATAGGTACTACATAACTATTGCATCGATGCATCATCATAACCATGACTGAGCCCCGATTACGGTAACTTTTAACGTCAACAATCCAGACACGCTTCTCGATTGTGCGATACGATTGGTCAAAACAGCTGACGTACGCTGTTGAACGACCAATCGTATCGCAGAATCGAGAAGCGTGTCTGGATTGTTGACGTTAAAAGTTACCGTAATCGGGGCTCTGAGCAGTTTTTAAGCCTTTTTTTTTTAATCAAACATACGAACGAGACCTTTGAGCCAAAGGTGGTGGTACAGACAGCCATCGAAATTGAAATTAGGGCGGGCCGGATTATTAAGCTTCCTGACGTTCTTTTCTTCCCATCCTTGGGCCACTTCATAGTTGAACTATTAGGTAAATCTAGGAGTCTCTACGTAACTCGCTCGATTAACTAAGAACTCTTTACCGCATAAAACTACCCTAAATAAAGTAATCATTATTATCAATGGAGATACACTTACAATTTTACCCCCGAAACGTAACAAAGCATTTAAAATGAAAACAGAAGAAGAATTTGTTTTGCTGTTTATTTTAGGGCACATTGTTGACGCGCCGCATTACAATGAAATAATCGGAGATTCAGCGTGGATCCTTGGGATGCGCTTGGGTGCCTCGTTGAAATAAAATATGCACATGTGTTTGGTCAGGAATGCGGGAATTTACAAATAAATGATACAATTATGTTTAAAGTAATGGATGTGTTTAATTTTATGTTACGTAACATATAAAATAGAAATAGAATCAGCTTAGCCGAAAGGCCCGCAAATAAATGAATAAAATCATGCATCTCTCGGGATAGTGTCATCATCATCATTATCATTTCAGCCATAGGACGCTGCTGAACATAGGCCTCCCCCAATTTTCTTCATCGATGTTGATCGATTAGTAGCGGCCTGCATCCAGCGCTTCCCTGCTACCTTTATGATGTCGTCTCTCGTCTATCCACTTTATTGGTGGACGTCCCACGCTGCGTTTTCCGGTACGCGGCCTCCATTCAGAACCTTGCTGCCCCATCGGCCGTCAGTACTGCGTACTATGCGGGATAGTATCCCTGGAGGAAAATCCAAACATTGAGACCTAACCTGGGACTGATAACATTCATTTCAGTCCTGTAACTATTTATAGCTTCTTTATATGCTATTACCTCTTGTGAAATCTAGCTTTACACACTTTGATTACAATAGTTAATACCTACTCACATACAAATATTTTTAATACTCTTTAGTTACTCAGTCCCGTGGTGCTAGGTACCTACGTACGAGCCGGCTAAACTTCGCATCGCGGTCGAGGAACGGTCCGGCTAAATTAAGTTTCAGCAGAACTTTTAGTTGGTCGACGCAGTGGAATCCAAACCAAGATGTTAGGAGCTAGTATCTCAAAGTTCTGTTTGTTACGTTGTGGAGATATGTAATAGATACCAACCTAGTCGGATTCAACCATATTTTAAGATTAATTTATTGACATTTCATTGATGAAAAAGGTCATACATACACATATCTACCTGACGTAAAACTGTAGTTTTAACGGGAATTAAAACTTAGTAAACACTTCCATTGGTAATTTTATGGCAACCGTTAAGTTCTTTTCTTAGTTTAATTATAGTTTCCTGAAAGCATTAAACCTAACTTATTTAATCCGTTCATTACGTAGTCTATGAAACAATTTTTTTTTTTAACATTTTAATGCAAGAGGTAGAGCTATTTTACGCCTTAATTAAGCACCTGACATTACAGATTTAGTCGTTGTATTTCAGTTTATTTACTTAGCACTTAATTGGTGATATTATCTCGATGTTTGTAGCACAAGTCGGGGTATCGATTATGTGTCAGCCGCAGGGATGGGTGTACGCAGCTCATACTTTCACATCAATAAGCCTGTCTTCAGATACGTTACAGCGTTACTAGTTATTAAATCAGCTATATCTAATTAAGAAATTAGTAACAAAGCATTAATAAGTACAAAGGATTACATAATTAATTATTTTACAAATTAGTCCAGCAATATTTTGATTTCGTAAAGAATATAAAGATCTGTTTACATTACTAGGTTACCATCTTACAAACTCTACAAGTAGTTAGTAATTACATTTTAATATGTTACACCGTTTGCAGTCTTCTACTCGTATTGGATAGAGTTTAGAAAACTACTGTTGTTATTCCTCTTCACGAGAAAAAAAGTTACACAATAAACTGTTTAGAACTTGACTAGTTTTTCACTGTCACGTACACACTGTCCGGTAAAGATGCCAAACTTAAACTCCGCTGGTCTTCCAATATAGTTGGACATGTCCACGGGTAAATCGCCAATTAATTAAGTTCCCAAGAGCCAGTCACCCTACTCGCAGATAGCCCCACCATGACAGCGCACTTTTAATTTTCTGGTGTCACGGGTTAGCGATAAGCCTCTAAGGAAAGTATGCGATGAATGGGGTTCTTATTAAAACTGTTGAAAAGTTTCATCAAGACCAAGTTCCGTCTGCGTGCTGTTAACGTCGTAGCAATGAAATTGTTAAGCGGTTTTTGTGCGTCCAAACGTAATTGGATGAAATGTAAACCGACGTTGTGGTAAAATAAAGTTTTGTTTTTTGTTTCGCTTTGATCAGAGTTGTTCTAGTTTTTTCTGTGACTGGAGTTAGTTGACGGATTTAACTCGGTCGAAATCGTAAAACATTTTTTAACCAGCTTTGGAATATGCGAGTAGTTAAATAAATAATTCTAACTACAAATAATGGAGTCTTAATTTGGATAGGGAATTTTTAAATATTTTGTAGCCCTTTTTCCACAGCATTCTCTAATACAAATATACATATGCCTACCCGTATTTTAACAATAATTTATTTAAAAGGCTAACTTAAAGCTGTAGAGATCGATCGATTGATCTTCTAATCTCAAAAACAATTAAGACTTTTTACGCTTTTATTTCAGTACCTATACTTATTATTTTAAAATAATGTATGTTTTTCTTAATCTTATTGCACAGACATAAAGTTGAAGCGTGACCAACTGTTTTACCGATTGCGGGTTGCATAGTTCGATTACTAAGGTCAAAACCAGGATTAATCCCCGAGATCCGCGGGTATTGGGAATCACTCGTAATACCGGTTAATTAATCAATCTACTGGCGAAGATTAATTTGGCACAATTTTGTGGTAGACAGTATCCACAGATTTTACTATAACGCCGAGTAAATCGTTCAGTTACAATTTTAGGATAGGTAATTTATATTGTTAATTACAAACAGCACTTTGAAGCGCTCTTTTTGGTAATGCCTTTTAATTATTTGTTAATTAATTTGTTTAATCTCGGTTAGGTAAGCTCCAAGGGGTTATTACTCCAGTTACATGCAAAACAAGAGTTGTCAAATTAATTCTTTTATTGCTTTAATTTAAATGTTATCTACTTATTATTATTTATTTTTTACGAAATGAAATGAAAATGCTTTATTTCTTAAATAAACTAGGTTTACAGCATATTTTGGACAACATTCCTTATAAGTATGGAAATACCTGTATCAGGATGTTGTTACCTCTCTTCCATACTTATTAATATCCATACGGTGTGTGTGTGTGTGTGCATAACTGCATTATTTACCCTAAAACATCTGGGGGCACGGCAGTGNTTGATGGGATTCTCTTTTCTGCAGTCGTGCCTATAGACAAAGTTTTTAAATAACGAACCAGAAAGAGAAACAAAGGAGCATCGCTTAGAATTAAACGAATTACAAAATCGTGTAAACGTATCGCTCGGACGTGGCGCGGTCTTGGGCGGGCGGTCACTCGGGGCGGGCTGGCTGCCACTGACAGGTAATCGATGCGGTTTGCTAGTTTATTTGGCTATCGGTTCCGCTCCGACATGTGTATCTACTCGATATAATCGATACTGGACCCCGGCATAATATGATTATGAATCGGAGCGGACTCGATTACAGATTCCGATACGGTACGTTCGGGTAGAGTCGGATGCATTCTTGTTTACGGTTCTAAAGTATGAAAGTCTGTAAACTTTTTGTGTTACGTTACACTTGTCTACATTTAGATATATGTATATTATAATATTCCTTTTAAATCGAGATCGTCGTTAACTTACACTCATACTTACCATACGCTAGAAACGTGGAAAAAAACGTACAAGTGGGTGCCATGAAACGGTTCAGTTGGCTCAAGATGGACTATTGAGCCTCACAATGGGGCCAATCACGCGCGCTAACTTCCAAGACCTTTGAGCACGTCCCTTCGCTTCCGAGTTGGGGATACTTCGGCTCCAAACTCCAAGAAAAATTACGACCAATCGACTTTGCGGCATCGAGTATTGGGATTTATACGTCAATGTATTCATGGGACTGGGAAACCGTGTTAATACAGTGTGAGTCACGTTAAAGTGTACATATGAAAATAGATGAAACTAGACTTATTTTTATCGACAAAAAAGAGGTCAAAAAATTTTTGAGTTTTTTTTTTATTTTTTTAAGGAATTTTTTTTCTTCCAATTACTTATTGTAAAGAAAACGTAATAA